GCTTTTTGATAAACACTAGTGAGAAAATCTGAAAGGGTTCTTTCCACCAACACATCCAGGAAAGGTAACTGATTGTTCTCTTCTACCTCCATAGTATATTTCAAAGAGTTGTGGAGATTGTTTCGATAGGAAAAGAACTCTTCTGCTTTACCCTGTGAGGAAAAATACATAAAAATATCATCTATGTAGCGGAAATAACAATAGGACTTGGCAATCCTATCAAATAGTTATTTCTCATGAAAGCCAGTGAAAATGGCCACTCCATCTATCTGTTGGTACATACAATTGTTAAAGATGAAGGAGAGTTGGTTTCCATCTCCATCAACTCAACAAAGACAATATCAGGAAAAGATGGAGGCTTTACTGTGCCACATTACAAAAAATCTGCACAAATATAAATAGTTTCATCAATCGAGACATTTGTGAACAAACTAGATATATTAAATGACACAAGATGCTCAGTGTCAAAATTGGGTTGCAGTTTGTGCATATATGCAGCACTGTCCTGGGTATGATGATAAACTACATCCACGTCCTGGGTAAGACAGTAAACTATATCCAACAGCAAGGCCTCTGACCAGGAGGTTTTGAGGAGCATGGAATGACCTCTTAATTGCTGGTGTTCCCAGGTCCACCCTGACCTGGGGGTCCCAACTATGAGCAAATAGTCAACCCCCCAAACTGGGGTCAAAACATGTGAAAGTGTAAATATAGGTTTTAATACAAGAAATACTTTGTAAAACATTTTTGAAAAACAAAAATTACCATTTTTGTGAAAAAAAAAAAACAATTATCAGCTATACATTTTTTGAAAAAATATTACCAGCAATAGATTTCTGGAAAAAAATATTACCAACAATGAAAATTTTGTCAGCATTAAATAACCCATTGAGGTTGATATGTCGTAAAACAAACCAAACCAAACCAAACATATATGCAGCAAATTGAAATGAATCAGTCACACAATACTCTGAATAGAACACTAATACTGAATCACGAATCTCAATAAACCATTTAGCCAAACCATGCCAGGCAGAACCCACCACAGACAAAATAGCCTTAAGGGGAACGTCCACTTTATGAATTTTTGGCAACCAATACATCTGTGGATGTTGGGAACCAATGGAAGGAACATTATTATAAACTTCTTTGGACAAAAATATTTCCTATGAAGTTCTAACAATCTCTTCTGTAATCAGACTTCCATTTTCAAGGTATTGTCACAAGTAACATCATCAAGATTTCCAAAATTTACTTGCATCCTTTAAAATACATGACATTTTATCGACATAATTGGAATAATTTAATACGACCACACCTGCACCTTTGTCAGGTCTGGTAATATATATATATATATATATATATATATATATATATATATATATATATATGTCCTAGTTTTTAACAATTTGGCATTTAAAAATGGTTCTTCTGCCAAGAGAACTCAATCAAGAAAATCAATAGGCAAATTAATGAAATTATAAACTAAGTCTTTCGGATAAAACAAATACTCCTCAGAATTAGGCAGATGTTTAACTAACTGGGAAAAAAGCATTAAGAAATCACTAAATACTTCAATTTTCTCAATTTTCCTAAAAGGAATACAAAAAAAACAAACAGTGAGACAAAACCAACTTATCAGAATCGGATAAGCAATAATTGGATAGATTAATAATATGCTTGTCTGTAGCAACATAAGAACCAAATTTCTTTTTAATCAAGAAATTCAAATATGTTAAGTTTCTAGCTTTGGTTCAAAAATGTCATCTTTAGACAGGTATTTAGAAAACCAGATCTTATCAAGAAGAGATAATGTGCCAGACAGGGAATTTGTTGCCAATTCAATGCCAAACTAGGAAAATAATTGTTTATTTTTTTTTTTGTTCCCTCCCTCTGTTTTGCTATAATTTAACATCAGTTGTTGAAAATAATTTTTCTTTTCAAACACTTTATCTTATTTTCCAATGATAGTTTTTCTGAAGTTGCGTCATCTGAAAGTTGCCTAAATTGTAACCATTTTTTTTAAAAATAAAATATGATCTCTCTTTTAAAGATCATTTATATATATATATATATATATATATGTGTGTGTGTGTGTGCACCTACTTGTATACTGTATTTGTTTGTGTTAAGAGACATGTATATTTTCTCCAAAAATTGATGAAAATATTAGACATCTTTAATTGCACTAGTGTCATCACTAGAAGGCCATTCATTTAATGCAAAACAGTGTAATAAATGCAAAATCAGTATTTCAGTGATCAAATATCCGAATTTTCCTGGGATAGGGTTAAAGAAAATTGAAAAACTTGCTAAGTGTGTTGATATTTCAAGAGTCAGTGAAAAATCTCTGCTTAAAGGCACCTTTACATGTTCATTGATGCACTCTGTAGCTGAGAGGTTAAAGCACCTCAGATCTAATGATGGTTTACTCTCATATTTTTTTTCTAAGATTTTTTTGAATATTTAGACCAGTAGACAAAAATAAATAAATATACTGTTTAATAAATAAAATGGAACATCTACTCCATTATGAGTATACGCTAAAAATAACGTTTTAAGTAATAAAAATCTGTTGGATTAATAAATAAAAAAATCCATCTTTTTCTTTACAAATACATATATATATTATTTACATTATTCAGACTATTGTCCTCATCTTTATTACCATATTCATAACGTTTTGGCTATTGTACACTTTGTTCTTCTTCAGGTGATTGGAATTTTGAACTGAACACTTTATTTCATCCACCGAAACAATCTACCTTGGGGGATGAAATAAATAATAAATGAAATAAATACACTCATCTCAGAAATATATGTGTGTGTGTGTGTTTGAGCTATGTACCTGATTGGGTCGTGTGAATGAATGATGTAATGGAGGTGGGAGCCTTAGTAAAGGGAGAAAACTGCTATGAGCCACATGAGATAGAATGTTGTGAAGAACCATGATTGTCTATGTCCAGAAGGGAAACAGCACATAGAAGAAGATATTGTTCATAGAGGTTAGATATTTTCTAACTAATTAGATTATCATTCATATTTGGTTGTTAGAATGTTTTGCTCTAATACAAATAAGCAGAAATAGACAACATGATGGATAAATAAAAAAAAGATTGATAAAATTGAAAGTTAGGAATATCTGTGATAGTGTGTAGGAATAAAAAAAATATATTTCAATCCAAAAAACTCATTGTAGCATCAATGGGTCACCATATAGACTGCAGCCACAATGGGTATCTTTAGGACGAGATAGTCTGATGGAATCCATGTCTCTTCAGGTTGTTTTTGAATTCAGAGTTTGAATTGCTTATGGCCATTTCACATTGAAACACCACTTCCCATATGGTCAGTACCTAGGATGGGTGACCAATTTGGAAATACTAGGTGTTGTAATCTTGGATGTGTGGGTGATGTAATGGATAATAGCTTAAGACTCAGAAACTGGAGATTCCAATTCATATTGGGTTTGTTATATTCATTTATGCATAAATACCCTTGGGAAAGGTATGAATCCATCTCTTCTCCCCACAGATATGGGTTAATTAGTAAAACTTGTATCAATAAACCTTTATTATCTCAAAAAAATTCTTACGATCTAAAAATATTTTTTGGCTTTAAATAACCTACAAAAGGTTGTTAAGCCATAGAAAACAAATTAGTCAAACAATCAAATACTTCTCTGAAATATGAATGTATAAAAATTGTTGTAGTCACAAAGTAAGGAATCAATTTATATATTGATTGTAATATAAAATTGACCCCTCCCTACTTTATTATCCTCATTATAATTTCTTGTTTTATCAAATTTTGATTAGCTATCAATCTACCTCTTCTCCTCCTAGCTATGGGTGAATTAGTAAGACTTGTATCAATAAACCATTATTATCTCAAAAAAAATTCTTACGGTCTAAAAATATTTTTGGCTTGTAATAACCTACAAAAGTAGTCACAAATTAAAGGATCAATTTATATATTGATTGCAATATGAAATTAACCCCTCCCTACTTTATATCCACATTATAATTTCTAAGGGAATAATAATAATTATAATAATCAAGGGAAAGTGATGCCTGGAAAAGAGAACATGTCTCCAAAATATATTCTTTCAATCTAAAAATGTATTCTGTCTTTAAATAACCTGCAAAGCGTTGATAAGCCATAGAAAATGAATCAGTCAGAATTTGAATTCGAAATTGGATGCTCTTCTAAGTCTAAAGAGCACAGTCTGCTATACTATTTCTCCTTAATGGAGAAAAAATAGATTCATGCCTTTCATAAGTGTGTAAATACAATAATGAATGCAACAGCCTTGGCAAGAATTTGAAGATATCTAGATAGATCAAAATAGATATTTATTGCTGATTTTACAAGAAGATTTCTTTTTATTATACAATGTTGATAATCTCCTTACCTGTCCCCTATGTTTTATATCCATGATATGAACTTGTATCTAAAGTGTTGAAATGTGCTTCTAAGTCTTCTTAATCCAGCACTTATTTCAGATGTTATGAATAGATTTTATAATGACAAAATAAATAGCTTTGACTCTTTTATTTTTTCTAATAGTCATGTATATTGTATTCATGTGATGTGAATGCTGACAAACCGGGATAATTTTATTTTCTCTGGAAAAATGTGCCAGTGTGTTGAAATTGATAAATAAATCAATAATGTCCTTTCCCAATTTGCATTTTTAGTGGAGTCTAAATGGATCAGGGGCAATAAAAAAAAAAAAATGTTTTAGAAAGTTGACTTTTGAAAAGAAAATTTCTTTTTTAAAGAAGGATATGAATAAATTTGATGAATAGGAGGAGAATAATTGAGATAAAATGTTTGTGAGAGAAAGAAAGAAGAATGCTGAGTCAGAAACAGAAAATGAGAAGGAAAGAAAAGAAAGTAACTGATTAAATTATAGGAAAAAGAGAATAATGATTGAAAAGATGTTGTCATAGATAAAATTGGGAATATCAAAGAATCCGAAAGGGAAATCAAATATATCAAATATTGAGAGAGTAATATGGGAGAGTGAAAAGAAAGAAGGGATATGAAAAATAAGGTAATAAAGAAGGAGAGAAAATTTGACAGATTGGGTAAATTAAAAATAGAAGTAAGCATAAAAACTGAAAAGAAAAATGTTTAAAGAAGAGGAACAGTAAGAGGTACATGCAAAAAAGGAAAGGTAAAGAATATATGGAAAAATAAAAGGGTAAGGGATATATGGAAGAGAGAAAGGGTATGAGATGCATGGAACAGAAGAAAGAGGAAGGGTGCATCGAAAAGAGGAAGAGTAAAGGATGTATAGAAAAGAAATGGAAAGGGATGCATGGAACAGAATAATGGGTAAGTGATCTATGGAAAAGAGAAAGGGTAAGGGATGCATGGAAAATTAGAAGGGTAAAGGATGCATGGAATGGAAGAAAGAGTAAGGGAATCATGGAACTGAGGAAGGGATGCCTGGAAAAGAGAAATGGTAAGGGATACATGGAACAGAAGAAATGGTAAGGAATGCTTGGAATAGAAGAAATAGTAAAGAAGCATGGAACTGAGGAAGGGATGCCTGGAAAAGAGAAATGGTAAGGGATACATGGAACAGAAGAAATGGTAAGGAATGCATGGAATAGAAGAAAGAGTAAGGGAAGCATGGAACAGAGGAAGGGAAAGGAATGCCTGGAAAAGAGAAATGGTAAGGGATACATGGAACAGAAGAAATGGTAAGGAATGCATGGAATAGAAGAAAGAGCCTGGAAAAGAGAAATGGTAAGTGATACATGGAACTGAGGAAATGGAAAGGGATACATGGAACAGAAGAAATGGTAAGGAATGCATGGAATAGAAGAAATGGTAAGGAATGCTTGGAATAGAAGAAATAATAAAGAAGCATGGAACTGAGGAAGGGCAAGGGATGCCTGGTAAAGAGAAATGGAAAAGGGATACATGGAACAGAAGAAATGGTAAGAAATCCATTGAATAGAAGAAAGAGTAAGGGAAGCATGGAACTGAGGAAGGGATGCCTGGAAAAGAGAAATGGTAAGGGATACATGGAACAGAAGAAATGGTAAGGAATGCATGGAATAGAAGAAAGAGTAAGGGAATCATGGAACTGAGGAAGGGAAAGGGATGCCTGGAACAGAAGAAATGGTAAGGAATGCATGGAATAGAAGAAAGAGTAAGGGAAGCATGGAACAGAGGAAGGGAAAGGGATGCCTGAAAAAAGAAATGGTAAGAAGCATGAATAGAAGAAGAAGAGAGAACAGGGAAGGGAGGGATGCCTGAAAAGTAAAAAATGAAGAAGAGGATGCATGGAAAAGAGAAAGGGTAAGTGATGTATGGAGAAGAGGAAGAGTAAGTGGAAATTACTAAAGATCATAACAAGAATGTTTGAGTGAGAAATAAAAAAATAAGTTAAAACAAAGTTTGGGAAAAAGAAGTTGGAAAAGTGAATGACTACATTAAAAAAAAGAATAAAATTCAATGAGTGAGTTGATTGAAGAAAAAAAAGAGACACATCAGAATGAATGAGTGAGCTGAAGAAAAGAGAAAAGCCAGAATAAATGAGTAGGTTGTAAAAAAAAAAAAAGAAAGAATTAAGAGAAATCAGAATGAGTCATCGTTAAACCTAATTATTTTTAAAAAATCATCATAAGTATGCCATTCTGGCTGATAGAGAATATTACAGAATGTTCAAGGGTAATTAATATGCAGAAATTAATGTTACTAGTTCTGGATTTATCTTTATTTGATGTTTCTGTGGTATTGATTTAAACTTCAAAAATCTTTTTTAAAAATTAAAATATGGAAACCTGGAAAATGTTTTTAGCAGTATTGTGCTAGCAAAAATCTTGCTACAATTTCCCATTTTTATTGTTACAGTCATAAATATATAGAAATCTGATCATTGTAGTCATTAATTGCCATAATGATTCTGTACTCTTGATTCAGAATAAGCTGAGTTGTAATAACAATCTCTCTATGTGCTATATACTTTCAGGATGTGCTTGATTATGGCTCTCTACAACTTTCTGTTACTTAATTTTTTGACTCCTCTTTACAATATTTGTTCTACTATACAGCTATTCAAACTCATCAGTCAGGTTACTTACTATTTTCCCCTGCTTCTTTGGCTTTCACTGTGCATTGTGAGTGTTAATTTCTCCAAGCCATCTGTTGAAAGTGAGATACCTGGATGATGGATATCTTATTCTTTGTATCTACATATCACACTCATTAAAATAAGAATGTCTCTGGTTGATTCTATTGAACAATTTGTCAGTTTATAGAACTTTTGTTTATTTTATAGAACTTTTGTTCATTTTATAAGTGTCTAGTTTTGAATAGGGAATTTTGATAAGGATACAAACTCAGATGTCAAAAGTTAATTAATTTCTCCCTTAATTTTAGCTTGATCAAAAAAAATAGGTATCTGATGTTTTACAAGGTTCATACTATTTCTATTGACTGCTTGGTGTAATGTATTTTGGTTTCGTATGCAATCTTTTCACCAAATTTATTTTCTGTTATTTCCTGATATGCTCTTTATTTTCCTTTCAATGACAGGTTTCAGTTCGAAGCTCCAAGAAGCACCAGGTTCCACGTGGGAGGATGTCAAAATCTCGTCCACATTCAATTCATTGCCCACAGCAACAACAGGTCCAAGAACATGAGGACAGGTCTGCTAAGCAGGTCAAAAGCACTATTCCTTCAAGAGAGAAGGAGGAAATTCTTCAGAGGAAAAGTCTAGTTACAGGTAAAAGGGATTCTATAACACACTGATCCAATATTGGTCGACATTTGCTGAATCATTGTGGCTTGCTTTATAGGTCTGGTGTGTGGCACCTCTGCTCCTCATAGAGAGCATTCCAATCATGGTGTTCTTTCCTTTGGGACTTTTACAATTACCAAGTAGGCATGGAGTGGGTAGAATGTTGTAGATTCTTGTTACTGGGCTAAGGGTTCACGCATGTGTAATAGCAGGGAAGTGATATGACTTGACAGCATCTTCTGTCTCATATGAGTGTTTTGTCTTGCTTTTTATTTATTTATCAATTTTCAAAAGAGGAAAGAAAACATTTTAATTGTAACTTTTTATTTGCTTCTATATTTTTCTCTCTTATCTTCCATATTTTGGTTTTTGAAATTTTAGAACTTAAATATTCTTTGAACATGGTTTAAATTCCCTTATTTGGTTCAAGGGGTAATTTGGGAAGTTCCAGAATTAATACACTTAAAAAAAATTTAATTAATTTTACAACACAGTGAGGATGTTTTTAATTACATGTCTTAATCTGTGATGCTGTAAGAAGGTGGGTGATGAAGAATTAAGTCTTGCTTATCTTACAGCTAATAAAATCAACATAGTTTTTATCCTTGGTGTTTCTTACATTTTTTCCTTTCTGCTTTTGTTATTATGTTATAAAATCTCACTTTTCATTCTCTCCCTTCAGTTCTCTCCCTTTGTTATTGCTCAAATATTATTTCTATCTCTTTGTAATAGATCAATAATTTTTCTCTATCATCTACTTTCTATTACTGTTCTTCTCTCTGTTATATGCTCTCTCTTCCTCTTGGCTAGGCACCCCACTTTCTTTCTGAACATGATTCCTCTAAGGTCATCAGATCTTTTTTTCTTTTTTTCCTGGTCTGTCTGTCTGTCTTTTATGAATATCCAAATACTATCTCTATAGTACCAAGGATATTTTCTCTCTCTCATGTAGACATTTCTATCTTTCTTTTATATAAATCTTTATGCCCACCCTGTTTTTCTATTTATTATGTATGACCTCTCTTCTTAAGTATGCTAATCCACCCTCTCTTAAATATGCATGGTCTCTCTCAAATTATCATGCTTTCTTTTTCTCTTTCATATCTCTCTATTTCAAGCCATAATCTTCTCTGCTTTAAGTATAGATGCATTTTCTTTGAATCTTTGTCTTTTTATATACATAGTCTCTCAGTCTCTATCTAGCAATGATTAACCTACTTAACAAACTTGTGTAAATGCTTAGGAGAACAGGAGAGAAAAAAAAACAAATGATAGGAAGTTGTGGAGAGCTATGATCAAACACGTCCTGAAAGAACATGACACACAGAAGAGGAACTTATTTGTGTTTGTTTTATGTATAAACTCTCATTTACTCTTTTATTGAATTTACATTTTTATAAGTTCTCTCCCTTTGTATAGACATTGATAATTTTCTCTTATTTACATTAATTTCTCCCTCATTCCATTGAATATATACATTACTCTCGCCCCCTCTCTCTCTCATTTTGATTTTCTACTATCATCTCCCTCTCCTTCTCTTTGGTATACCTATTTCTCTCTCTCCTTCATTAAAAGGTTGGAATGTAATTTCTCTCTTTTTCTTTACACTCTATCTATCTCTCTTTTATTTTTATTCTCTATTATGATTTCTCTCTTATTCTCTTGGGTAGACATAATTCTCTCACACTCATATTTTCTAGTAGAATACCCCTCTCATTTTGTATATCTATTTTATCTCTCCCTCATTAAATGTTTGAACTGAAATTTCTCTCCTTTTCACTCTCTATCTCTTGTTGATTTTCATTTTCTATTATGACTTCTCTTTTATTCTCTTGGCTAGACATACTTTGCTCCCCCTCTCTCTCTCTCATTGTGATTTTCTAGTATCATTTCCCTCTCCTTCTCTTTGATATCCCTATTTCTCTATCTCTCCCTCATATAAAGTTTGAATTGTAATTTCTCCCTTTTTCTGTCTTTCAGTCTCTATTTTATTTTCATTTTCTCTTATGACTTCTGTCCAATTCTAGACATATTTCTCTCTCATATTGTGATTTTCCAGCATCATTTCCTTCTCCTTTGATATACCTATTTCTCTCTCTCTCTCCCCCTCATAAAATGTTTGGATTTAAATTTCTCTTCCTTTTCACTCTGTTTTTATTCTCTTGGTTAGACATACTTCACTCTCTCTCTCTCTCTCATTGACATTTTCTGGTATCATATTCCTCTATTTCTCATTGGTATAATTATTTCTCTCTATCTCCCTCATTAAAAGTTTCGATGATAATTTCTCTCTAATTCTTTTCTCTCTGTCTTTCTATCTCTCTTTTATTTTTACTCTCTATCATGATTTTTCTCCGATTCTATTGGGGAGATATAATTCTCCTCACTCTCCATCATTGATATTTTCTAATATCATTTCCTTCTCTTTGCTGTACATTCTACTCTTTCATTGGAATTTTATCTTCAGATTCTAAAATATATTTAATATAGAAAGAAATAAAATATTAAGAACATAAAGAAAATAAAAATACAATTATTTTTTTCATATATACAATATCTATTTTTTTTCTTAAACACTTTCAAATTATCCTCTACGAAATACAAACACGTCTTATTTTCTTTTCTTCAGCTCTGATATAATTTTAATTCTGCAATAAATATTGGAAATATTCAGTTAATATTTCTGTGAAGAAATCTGAAGTGCCTGAAGCAGTTTTCATCTCAAATTGCAACTATTTTTTGATCCAGATCGTCATTGAAAATAGATAAATTCTAAAATTTCCAAAATATCTGGATTAAAATAAAGAATTTTTAGAATCCTCCATTAAAATTTATGAAAAGAAATAAATTGAGAAGAAACCAAATGGAAAATTAAAGCATTCAGTTCTCTTGAACTTTTTTTTTTTTTTTTCATGAATAATATTCAGATAAGTGGCAAAATTTTGGTCAGGGAATGACGAACATGAATTCAATCCCAAGAATTCACCACAGTTTTATTGAAAAAAAATCAAAGTAACTTTTTTTTGTGAGGGTAGGAGATGGTATTATGCTCTTTTTTGCAATTTTATTTCACTTGTAGTCAAATATATTAAGTACTTACAATAATTTCTTGAAAATCTTTTCTGTAAAATAGTTGATTGATATTTTTATGATGGTGCTATTGTCGGAGTTAACTCCTCCTTTAGTACATTAACCCTTTCACCAGGGGTCGCTCTTCGCTGCTATAAATAGCCACGGACCCTTCGCCTCTATCTCTCTTTTTCCTTCAGGCCTGTGCACTGACACCTTGAGGTAAATCTCTCCTTTTCATCAGGCTTTCAGCTTACAACCTCGAAATGTAGGCACTAACAAGGGATAGTGTGGAAACACGCTAAGCACAATACACACACATGCACATACCAAATATTCACACACACACGCACGCACGCACATACAGAATATTCCCATACACTTCATCCTTTGTACTGTTTCCATGTATTGTAACTTGTTATTAATATATATTTGTATATACATATATTATCGGTCTTGTGTTTTGTTTGCTTTCTTTGCCTTCTTCTTTGGACTTAATCAGAGTCCAACCTTTTTATGCAGTTGGGCCCGACGAGCAGGAGTATCTGAACCTTACATGCGTTTCTTCTACGTCTGACTTCACAACATCACAGCCATGGCCTCCTACACTATCTTCATACACAATAATAATATCATTAAAAATTAAAAAATAAAGTTTACAAAATTTCATTAATATAGTAATTTTTTATATCACATGACTGATAGAATTTATAGAAATTTATATTCATTATAGAAAATTACTGAATTTATAAATATAAGTTACTGCTAAATTATATTGTCAGCATCCATTTATTTCACAAGATAAAGGTAGCATCCTGTTTGGTCAAAATTCAGTCCTGTGGTGGTGAGACTGGAGTGACCTCTCTGTGGTGCATATACTGCCCAGATTACATCCCCCCACCTGTCTGTATGGACAAAATCTAGGAGAACACAGGGCATTACATTTGGGGTCAGCTTGGCTGCAGGAGATGCTGGAAATTTGTCACTGTTGACAGCCAACTGCCTTCGGGGCACTATTCTAGTTTTCTGTCTCTGTTTACTTCCATAGCCTTTTCCGTGTTTGGATATGACTGCAAGACAGTGGAGGGTTTTTCTTCCTCTAGATGGACTGCCTCCCTGGGCTGTTGAGCTTCATCTACCAAAAGCAACCAGTTATGAGGTACCAATTTTCCCCCTTCACCCATTCTCTGGCTCAAAGCCAGAGAATGGATTACATAGTTGTCAGGTTATTTGAAACACATGCCATAGAAGCATTTTATAGACAGTAGGAGATTATCTCCTCTATCCTCCTGGCCATGACAACCTTTGGAACAAAATGTTCTTGGTCATCTTGATCAAAATTTCCTCCTCTGAGCTTGTGAATAGTATTTTCAGTTATGACACCATATCTATAAACAGCACCTATCAATTTTGCTGTTTTTGTAGTTTCCCATTTTGATAATTAAAGAGCATCAAATGAAGAAAAATACTTCATTTTTTCTGTTCTCACTTTTAGTGTAAAACCATTTAAAATTCACAATCCACAGATGAATCTTATAGAAAGTCATGTTGAAATGTGATCTTTCAGCATATGTACATATGTCATAAATTTCAATCAAGTGTGAAATGAAATCACATGTTCAAATGACACCTATTAAAAATACACTGCAGTAGTATTTTTATTTTTGTTAAATCATTTTTCTTCAAATCTTATCAGCAAAATGAATATTTAACAAAATTTGTGATTTTCTTAATACCAGTATTGTGTACTTTGTAAACAATATCCTGTAATGAACTGAACCTTTTTAACTCAAAATTTTTCCCTTTTTATATTTACAACTTTGAACAGATGTGCTCATGGTATAACGTATTGGTGCAGAAAAGAAAATTGGTGAACCAAGTTCAAATTCCAACTTAGTCTGCTGCATTCACTTTTGCACACATGCCCTTTGGTGAAAGTATGAATCAATCTATTCTTCCTCCACCTTTGTCTTAAATAGCAGAGTAGGCTTGGCTTTTTGTATTTGCTTGAACTTTGAATGGAAGTGCTCATGGTGCAGAAAGAGAAATTTTCTAGCCTTGGGAGACAACCTTTCTAAGAGATGGAAAGCTCTGAATTACAAACTGTGAAGAAGGCTACATGATCTTTCCCTAGAAAGCATGGCAATTCTCAGATAATAAAGAAGAAACTGTGGAGGGTCATGATCACTTATATTATTCAACAGTGAACATTTTTCTCATGTCTTTGAATTTTTTCTTTCTCCATTCAGCACAACTGAAAGATGCAAGTACCTCACCTCTTAGCATTTCTACTCAAAAAAGAATCAATAATGGGAGCAAAGTATCCAAACCTGTTACAGGTGGTCGACGTCTGGGGAAAATGTCAAAGCAAAAATTCCAGGATTTACAAAGACAGGTAAATTGCCAAATGTGTTTCTGTTATTTGTCTGTTGACATATTCCAGAGGTCATATGTCTTGACAAAGAATATTAAAAAAAAAAAATCAGTGTTGTGTATATTTTTCAGGCTATGATCTACATTGTTGTTGCTTTTACTGTGAAATTTTCTATTGGCTGAATTATGAGAATTGCTCATCTTACCTTACCTTACCTCTACAAGTAGACTTTTTCATTTTATCTGTGTTCTATAAATGAATTAGGTTTTGCTACCTGGGAAGCATTTTTCTGGAAGTGTCTGAGAGTTCTATATTGGTTGTTACTTAATATTTTTATCTTTTCATTGGTAGTAGAGTGTAATATATCAGCATACATAAATCTACCAAAATTTGAAGAGGAGTGATATGACTCATGGAAAAATTAGTTAAAATATGGCAGACCATGACAGACATAGGTAAGAAAAAGAATTGTGCCACAGATGTTTATTCTTGAGTTAAAGCTGACATCAATACTTTTATTCCTTCTTGGAAATACCAGGTGAAACCACAATCTGGTCTGCTACTATAGCCCACAGGAATTACTTCTTCCAAGTGTTCTAGTTCTAATAGTTCTGATCATAAAAGAAACCAATTTGTATCTTGTAACAATTGTAAACATGCCCTCAAAGAGAGTAAGTTTTCATTTTCAGATAGAATGAGACATCTCATAGCTTCTAACTAGTGGCTTTGTAATAAGAGTACGTCTTTTATCCCTCCTCTCTTCACTCAATTTGATGTATTAACTTCTTCTATTGATAAAGCACAATGTTTTTCTCCTAAATTCTTCTCAAATTTTATTCTTGACTCATCTGGTGTATTATTGCCTGATTTTCCCTAGAACTGAGTCCTTGATCAGTGTTATGCATGTAACTCCATCCATGTTTACTTCTATCATCTTTAAACTGGATACCCTCAAAGCATGTGGATTTGATGGTATCCCTGCAATAGTGCAATAGAAATGTGCACCCAGACTGACTCCTGTTCTCTATAAACTGTACAATAAGTACTTTGCTACTTCTTGCTTTCCTGCTTGTTGGAAATTCTCATTTAAGAACTCAGGTGAACCATCTGATTCTCTCTTTAAGAACTCAGGTGAACCATCCGATTCTCTCTTTAAGAACTCAGGTGAACCATCCGATTCTCTCTTTAAGAACTCAGGTGAACCATCCGATTCTCTCTTTAAGAACTCAGGTGAACCATCCGATTCTCTCTTTAAGAACTCAGGTGAACCATCCGATTCTCTCTTTAAGAACTCAGGTGAACCTTCTGATCCTTCTATTAGGCTATTAGCCTTCTACCTCTAAAGGTTCTAATCAACTTTGAATTGGCTAAGCATCTCATCTCGCAGAGTCTTCTTTCAGATAAGCAATGTAGCATTCACAATTAATACTGTATAATGAGATTGTATAATTCCTGATCCGTTAATGATTATTGCTGAAAGAATCTATCAAGAATGCTGAAATTTGGACTGTTGCTTTGCATATCTTGAAGGCATTTGACAGTGTTTGGCATATTCATCTTCTTCAGAAGTTGAAAGGTTATGGTCTTTCTGGACAAATTTTTGAACCGATTCAGTTTTTATCAAATCAGGAAATGAAAGATGTCATTCTTCTAGATCCTTTTGCCTTAATCCAGGTGTCCCCCCACCAGGTATCTATCGTTGGACCTACATTGTTCCTAATTTTCATCAATGACCTTCCTGGTGACATCAGTTCTCATTTCTCATTATTCTGATGATACAATCATTTATTCCTGTCTTAATAAAAAGTTTGAGTGGTTTGATAATGACAATTGGTAGCTGATCTAAAAAATGATCTATATTCTGTTGTTAATTGGGCCACAAAATGGCTTCTTAATTTTGATGTCTCCAAAATGCAACTGCTCTCTTTTAATCTGAGAAAACACTTTTTACTTTCCATCAACATGGCTGATGCTAACCTTTAGTAGAGTGACTCATTGTACCGTCTCAGATTAATGTTTTCCACTGATATGAACTGGAAAGATTATATTGAATCAATTGCTAGGTTCACTATTGGGAAAGTTAGTTCCCTGTGTCATGCTAGATAATTTTTCTCAACAGAAACTATCTTACGTATTTATAAGTCTACCATTTATCCTTTTCTGCTACATCTGGTCTTGTGCTGCTGCTATATATTTAGAGATTTTTGTTAAAATCCAAAGAAGAATCTGCATTATTATTGGTCCTAGCCTGGCATCTCAGCTTCAGTCACTTTCCCATCACTGTAATATAGCATCCCAGTGCCTTTTTTATAAATACTTTCAGCAGAATTTTTCTGATGAAGTTATGGTACCGAGACTATGAATTTAAGTGCAGTATTAGATTGACAGTAGTATCTCATCATTTTTTACAGTTTAAACAGCTAGATGTAACCAAAAATTCCCTGCTAACAGTTCTATCACACTTCTTGCTTGTGGAACTCTCTTTCAGCTTATTGCATTCCAGTTGACATGGATCTTCAAAAATTTTCAATGCAATGTCAATCGTTATCTTCTGTTTTCCTAATTTTTGTTCTTTTATTGTCCTCTCTCCTTAATAGTGTTTGTTTTCTCATATTCTCTAACACTCAGTAACCCCTTGCATCTTAGTGGCTTTATTGCCTTGCCTAGGGTGAAATGATTAAAATTGTTTCTTCTCTTGCACTTCATACTTGTGACTTGACCCAAAGAGTTGTGAGTTCAGTAACTGGCTAGTGCAGTGGTGAACAAAAACTTGGAAAGCGGAGTTAAAGAGAGATAACTGAAACAGCCAGAAGAAGCTACGATGGTACCACCTACCATTACCTTCAGTTACTGTTATCTATTGACTTTTGGCACATCAGTGTACCTATTTTTGTAAATTTGTATTTGAAATTTTATTATCTCTTTTTTTCATTTTCTGGGTTCCCAATTTTTGATAGGTAAGGGAAATTAGTAATAACCAAAAGATATACAATGTTTTAAACATAGAACAAAATATTTGTAACTTTTCTTACAAAACCCAAACATTAACCTAAGAACTCAATGTTCCTAAATAGCCTTGTCAAATCAGGAGTTTCATATGGATGACATGCATGGTATCCAGTCTGTTTAGAGATATAGTTAGCACCAAATGAGATAGCAATGACAAGAGGAGAGAGGCAAGAATATACAGAATAAATTGTACAAAATGTGCATTATGTACATTGGCAAAACGTCCAGAAACCTTTAGAAAAACTATATCAACATTGTGGAGATATGCTGCATAACAACACATTAAAGTGGTTCATGATAATACATTTGATCATTTTGACTTAATAAAATGCCAGTCTGATCAAAAGAGAAAAGGAGTCATTTAGAAGAAAATGTATTGAGAGTGTGATAATCTCACAATTCTCAACAATAAACTTAAGACCAGGACTACACATAATATTACTGACTGATCATCATAAAAGCAATAATGCAGTATAGAAGCTAGTCAAGAAAAAATAGACATCTATTTGACTTGGGGTGGCCTGTGTTAAAATCCAACAGATACTAGTGGTTCTCTGTCTGTCTGTCTCTATATCTATCTATATATAGACACTTTCTGGTTTCAGTGGGCTGATTTAAAATATAACAAACAACAATGACTTATATAAAACAAATAATCAAACATACCAATGATTTTTTTAAAGTTAAAATCAACCTTCCCAATAAATGTGCATGCCAGATTTAAGTGTTCTACATGAAAGTATTTGTGTGTCTATAACAGACAGACAAAGTTTCCTAGATTTTTTATATATATATATATATATATAAACCTAAACCTAAAGAGCCAGACAAACCTATCTAGGTTTCACCTACACAGATCTTCAGAGTAAACTTTTTTTTTTTATTCTTTGGACTCTGAACTTAGATTCTAAACGATTATTTTTGCCAGAAATACATGTTCCTAGTTCTTGGTTTGTTCATTTACAAGCTAAAACACCTAAGGTTTTGCTGGATGAGTATAGCTGCTTATATTTATAAGATTATTATTATTATATATATATATATATATATATATATATATATATAGATTGTTGAATTAGCTATCAACAACTTTGAATTTCCCAAGTCTCTTAATAGATAAAACAGCAGTCTTTCTCTCCCTCCTCCACACATATTGGGTGCAACCATTTTTTTTTTTTTTTTGCACTTCCCTTAAAAAGTTCTCCCCCTGGTTCATTAACCACATATGTTTGCTTTCATAGGACAGAGATTTTTTTGTTGTTTGTGTTTACCTGTCAGAATGATGTTACTTAGGGTTGAAAATTTGACAGAAGTGGGTTAATGTGGGTTTCATGAAACAGATTTTTTTTTTTTTTGTGATATATGCTTAAGAATTGGATTCTAAGGTGCTTTGAATCCTGAGATGAAGTATTTTTATTTTTCAAATAATAATACTTCAGAATCCTGGACAACCAAAACTCTGCCCTTTCAGCTGAGTCAAGAATACACGAATTGCATGCCCCCTACAGAAGAGTAAGATCCCCTTTCTCAAGAAATGCCGCCTACCAAGTAAATGCTTAAGACTCAGATATAAATGACTAATATTTATCTATCAGCACATTAAGTAAATGCTTATAGTCTCAAATATGATAATAGTAATATTAGTTGTTTCCTTATAAGGAAACATTCAACATTCATTGACTTGTACTACTGTTGGTTTCTCTTAAAACAACTTTTAATAAAAACTGGTTTCTCAAGTTCATTAGCTGTTATTGCTCTTTCCAGTATTGATGAGGGTTTCCTTCCTAATTTCTTTGTTGAAGTAGTGTGGAATGTCAACATCTTGATTGTCATTATTTTTTTTATATTACATGTGCTATCCATTTTAACTGTTGCTGCTGTTGAATGTCCTGAAGTGATGTGGCTTCTGTTTTTTTGTAAAATTCTTTGTTTGGGATTCTATAATGCTAGCCAAAAAGTTCAAAGATGGATCTTTATTGAGACCTACACATGTCACTCACTCAAAACCATTT